TTTTTTTTTTTTTTTTTTTTTTTTTTTTTTTTTTTTGTACACCTAAATTGTAATTTTTGCACCACCACTGCCATTAAAAATCAAAGTAATTGGAGCAAGCAGTACAGCCAGTGTTTCATAGTGCAGAGTATTGGCATTGTACGACAGGAAAAGCAAGTTTAAATGTAACCAGTGTCGGTGCGACAAGCATAGTTAAATGTAAGTGAGCATTTGTCCCATTCGCACCAAGAGCAATTTGTATTTCATGAAATTGATAAAACGAGAGAGAAATACAGAAGAAAAATCAATTTTAAATAGTAACTTTGGGGTACAAATATTAATGTAAAAATATAAATATAATAAATAAAATAGTTGAATAATCATATTCATGTTAGAATGTCATAAATTAAAATTCCCTTAACTTATAAAACGAAATATATGTTCAGCAGTAATGTGCTATCAAATTCAACTTATATATATGTATACACAAATATGTATGTACATATCCATATATATTTTTTTATATAGAATTAAGTATATTTATGTTCAAACGCATATAACATTGTACTCATACATTTAAATACATGTATGTAGTTATACTTTGTATATGTATATGCATACATATGTCCATGTCTATGTACATATATATTAAAACGAATTGGTTTGAAATTTTCACATGCAATAAATCCTCTAATAGGGAAAACACACCTGACACTCTTTTCGACGTTCCTTAATCAATATGAAGAATCTTTGCTTTATTGTATAGGTTACACTCTTTGGTACACGGTAAACTAATAAAAAGCTGAATAGACTTAACACTGTCAATAGATCTGTCAATCTAACTAATAGCTAGCAGCTTCAGATTTTTACAATATGTCAATCTTAGCACAACTCTTCATTTGCACTTCACCATTGGTAGCCAACACCTAGATGTATTACAGGCATGCTGGATATACAAATATCGATACTTTTCCTCATCGATGAAACTAACATAATTTCACTTGCGTTTCCCTACGTTTCCACGAGTGAATTGATAACTTTTACCACCTATAACAGAGACTTTTATTAGAAGTAATGTACCTTCGATAGAAATTTTTAAGTTTATCTCCTTTTTAATCACGCCATAATGGTTTTGTTGAAATGTACGTAACAGGCGGACGGATTCATCATTCCATAAAGTATATACAATAAAATCTAGTAACAACTTAAAGCATTAAACCGGTTATATCAACGAAAATTCGATGTCTTGGTTGGTCTCCATACAAACTTTCATATGTACATATATGAAAGAGTCTCCACCAGTATTTGAAAAGCTGACAGTCATAGCAGTAGCAGTCGTAAAATTTTGTCTGTGCTGTGCTTCTGCAGCCAACAGTTTTCGCAGTTCCGTTATTGCTAGAACTGTTGCCGCGAACATTTTCCACAGTCGCAGTCGCAGCAAAAGCAAAAACATTTCTTGATCAGCAACGCAGCGCTTCGGGAATCGACAGCTTCGGCAGTTTTGAGAATGCTAGAACTGTTGATGCGTGAACTGGCGACAGTCGCAGTCGCAGCAAAAGCAAAAAACAATTCTTGATCAGCAGCGCAGCGCTTCGAGAATCGACAGCTTCGGCAGTTCCGTTATTGCTAGAACTGTTGCTGCGAGCATTTTCGACAGTCGCAGTCGCAGCTAGAGTAAAAAATTTCGACTGCCGAACAGCACAGCAGGCAGCTTCCACAGTTTTTGCTTTGCTATGTTTTGGTAACTTTTGTAACTTTAATGCCGAATTCACTTGCGGCATACTTTGTAGCAATGAAACAGATCGTAGGCGTTGTCTTGTATTAATGTGCATCCGAGCAACAGCAAAAATGTCTCGTAATAAACAATGTGATGTTTGAAAGTATTTTGATACCAATAAGGAAGGGGACTTTGCTACATGTAAAACATGCAAAAGCAAACTTAAAACCAATCGAATTTCTAATTTAAAAGCTCATGTTGTCAATGTACATCATTTGAAAACGACTCCTCTTTCCGAACTGTCGGAAAACTCTTCTATTTGTTCGTCGTTTAAAATTATACAAAAAAAAAAAAAAAAATTAAATTTAAATGAACAAAAAGCAACTAATAAGGTCATACATTGGGCTCGTTACGGAGGACTCCATACCGTTCAATGTGTTAAATTCTGATAATATGCGAAATATTTTAAACCCAATTTGTGACGGCTTCAAGGCAACCGAGAGGAAAATCAATTTGTTTAAACGCATCAAATTGCAAGTTTTCTTGCTTGATTGTTGCTAATAATCTACGCAAAGACATAAAAGATGAATTGAAAAACAAATTACTTTCACTTAAAATAGACAGTGCTTCGCGCCTATCTCGAAACATTTTTGGAATAAGTGCGCAATTTATTAGCGAACTGGAAATAA